GGGACTGCCACGCCTCCTTCTCCCTGTTACATACATTTCAACAAAACCATTATACCCTGATTTCCCATTGAAAATGGGTTCAGGGTATAAAAACTGATTATGTCAAGTTAAGCCTAATAATCCATTTCATTAATTTCTTCGACAACTAACACAACTGCTTACATATATTAACGAATAACTTTTATTCATATATTACACAACTACAAGCTTAAGCTTTTATAAACACTACCGCTTACATTTTATCAATTTAACTATAAACTTATAGCTACAAACATGTAGGGCGGTTTGTTGGAGAGCCGCCTTTTAGCTTATATTATTAGTTGTTCATCTCTCATCAACCCTTATCTATATCCACTTAGTGAACTGCGTGGGATATTTATTATAGAAAGTTATTTATTATTATATTTACGTGCCAACAAAATCAAATTAAAATTTCATTATAATGTGAAATTTAACAAGGACCGCATGGACCACAAGGAACTTGAGGACCGCATGGTCCGACAGGTCCACAATGCGTGTTCCATGGTGTTGGTGCACACGGATAACAAGGTCCGCACTCAGGTGATTCGTAAGGGCAGGGAGGTGAGCACGGCCCACAAGGTCCACAAGGTCCATTTCCCAAAGGTCCACAACCTGTCCCGCAAGGGCCACAGGGTGCCGGTATGAAAGGACCTGAAGGCATTGTCAAACCACATGGCCCGCAATTAGGTACAGCGCAAGTTCCTCCACAGGGTCCACATGGTCCAGATGGTCCATATGGTCCACATCGCCCAGGTCCACATGGTGCACAACGTCCAGGTCCACAAGGTCCACAACGAGTTTCACACACTGGATATTGATTAGTAGAGAAGCAGGGAAGAGGACAACAAGCTCCACCAGGTGCACAAGGGCCAATAGGACACGGTGGACACGCAGCACTTGGCTTGTAGTTTATTGGCCCATTCGGGTAGCAACAATATTCTCTTGGAGGCGGTATATCGATTGTTTGTGGTTTTGGTTGGCACAAAATAGACTGACAAACTTCCCTGGGTTCGCAAACGCGCTTCGGATAGCAGACTACATAGGGATCTGGGATCATAGATGGATAATATATAACGCGTGGCTCCCGAACCATTTGTGAGACCCAAATAAGTTTTGGAACCTTAATAACACGAGTGGCGTCCACCACTTTCGGTACAGTAATTTGACGACAACGATTTACGACCATAGGCTCGGGCACAATTTTCTCCGTAAAAACTACACGCTTTTTGCATATAAGCCTTGGTGGCTGCTGTACAGTTATACATTTGGGAAACGGTGGTGGTATGCGAGGTGCACATTGCGGTAAAGCCTCCAATTGAGCAGCATTATAACACTTAGGAGAGCATTCAAAAGGTCCACAGCAAGGATCACATGGGCTACACGGTCCGCAAGGAGAACACATGATTTTAAACAGAAATAATTTGATTCGCTTTTATTTTTTAAGAATTTTAAATTTTGTTGCTACAATTTGGATACCGATCGAATTGAAAATGATCAAATGAGACGTGTCTGCCACAAAATGAACACGTTTTCTGCCTAAAATAACAAAGCTCACTTAGTTTTTATACTCATTCGTAAAAGTTAAATAAGTATATTAGTTTTGTGTAATGTTCGTCTTGCTGAATGCAATCTTTAACGGTATAAAATGTAGCATGTCCAGTATGTTAAATAAATACTGTAAAAAGCAAATACTGTACAGCAAATTGTATAAAATGTATATAAGTATACATTTCAAATTTGGAGACCAGCGTTAAAGTTGTAGGAGATATAAATTTATTACTAATTTTCGATAATGTTTTTAATCGATAACAAAATAACGGGACAAGTTATCGATATTTAAAGCAAGACTCGATATGCGCGTGCTATACACGGACCTAGGAAAAAACAAGTAAGAAGGCTCCAGTCGAGACTGCTCGACTAGGAGATACCCTGAACCCTTGGAGTAATAGC